ACTGCCACTTCAACTTCTGTTCAGTTGTAAGTTGTAGTGTCAAAGCTTTGCACTGTGGCATGTAAGGGAGTATATCCTGAGCATATAAATTCTGATTATTCACAGCCATCATGGCTACACCTCCCAAACTGCCAGGCAATGTCAGTTTATTAAAAACAAATGCTTGTGCCAGGCCAGTGTGGCTCAGTGATTGAGCATCAACCCATGAACCCAGAGGTCCCTGGTTCTGTTCTTGGTAAGGGTACATGCCCAGGGTTGAGGCTCGATCCCAGTAGGTGTGCAGGGGGCAGCCAATAGATGTCTCCCTCTCATCGATGTTTCAATCTCTCTATCCTTCTCCCTTTCTCTTTCTCTAAAATCAATAAAAACATATTTTTAAGAAAAGCAAATGCTTGCAAACCACCTTTGGTATATTCATACCAGTGAACACTATGATCTAATCCCAAGCCTAGATTTCTTTCCGTGTTCTCAGCAAAATGCTTTTCTCTCTCCGTTTGTAAGCCAGAGAAACCTAAGAATCCTCAACCCTCCCACTTCTCTGCTGCCCGCCCCCCCACCCCCCTGCCCACTGCCAAGTCCCATCATTCTGAGGACTCATCACACCCACTCTGGTTCCCTCCAAATCACAACCCAGGACTATCTTCTCGAAGTATAAATTTCCCACCCTGCCTACTTTGGCATAGAACCATAAACCTATCTCAGTTTGTAAACTTTACATTCAGTGAGATAAATTAATGTAATTTCAAACCAGTTCTAATCAACAGTTTAATATACAGCAAAAAGTAGAGTCCATATAATGTACTGGAGCCCTGACTACATTGACCACTGACTTCTGGAATGATAAATATATGTAACACTGGAAAAACAGATAAGATGCTTACCTGTAGTCATGTTTTCTGAAGATTCCATTATTACATTTTATAATCTAATCCACTAATATGCAATTTTGTAAGTCTACCTTCCTCATCATTCTATAACCCCTTTTCTTCTTTAAAATAAGATTAATACTCTGGCAGGTTAAAAAGCTAGTCAATAAAAGTCCAGCCAAGAAAACACTCATTTTTGCAGCCTAAAATAAATGGTTTCCACCTAAAGGGAAAAGCTACTAGCAAACAAGTTTTAGTAAGTAGGTTGAAAACAACAAAACCTATCATTGCATTTATTATCCCAAAGTGTGCACAGACCGCATATCACTGTCCTGCTCTGGACTCTGCAGTGAATGGACGACTTTGCAATCACAATCAAAATTCCATTTTATTCTTCACATTTCCCACGACTTACTGGTACAGTGTTATAAATAGCACAAACATGCAAACTGAGCAGGTCGCCATTCAGTTACTTTTTAATATGTTTTCTATTAAGTTGGCCACAATTCAGAGGCTCCTAAATGTAAGGAACCTGATTTTCTTCAAAGGAAGTGTTTCTTAGCAATGGTGCAAAGTGCTTTACTTACGTACAGTAGACTCATCCAAAGCCATCTTGCCTGTGCAAAGTGAAAGCAATATAACCTCAACTTCTGCCATTTATAGCATCTTGAGACTGGTGTTTTGTTCAACCCAGCTACCTAGTCAGGGGCTGGTAATGACCTAATGACAATTTAGATTCTTCCCATGGTAAATGATAGCACTCTATGTCCCACTGTTTTAGACGATAAAGTAGAGTGATGTAGAACTATGGACTCTGGAATAGAAAATATGGCCAGATAGACACCAGCTCTGCCATTCACCCTATCTCTGCTGCCAAATCTGGGAAGAAGCTAAAGGTTATCTACCACACCTCCTATCCAGTCTAAGAACCCACCTGCCAATGGTCACATGTCATCAGCGTGTCACATCAGCGTGTCAGCATCTCTCACTGCTGAAACACCAAGAGCTTCTCCTAGGACTTAGTATAGCCTCTCTGCCCTTTCCTCATCTTATCCCAATTCAGTCTTAGAAACAAAATATCCTCTGAAGGTCAACCCTTCCAGTGCCACATGTAAAGACAAGTTTCCAGCTCCCACCCACTTATGTTTCCCTTGACCATTTCTTAAATAACTTGGTTTGGGGACAATGCTTCCATCGGGTTAACTCCAGATTAGCAGTGACCTTACAGAAAAATCAGACTATAGAACTTCAGATTAAGTTCTAATCCAGGGAGTCCCCAACCTGCATAATTAGAGTTCCCTGGGAGCTTCTGAAGCCAGATTTCTTATCTCCAGTTAATCAAAATCATGGGGGATAGATCTCGGGAATCTGAACATTCATAAAATCCCCCCATGATTCTGCCAATCATTCAGATTTGGGAGTGATTCAGTAAATTAGAATAATGGGACTATTTGTCTTGATCTTTAAAAAGTTTTGCTTCTTTGAAAATAATCAGGCAGTATAAAGTTTTGTTCCTCAGTTTAATTATAGGGCAAATCATTGACAACAGTGAGGAAATTTTTAAAAGGAACCAATTATTAAGGTGAATTATGGTAAGTGCTATCTGATGCAGAAGAGAACTTATTTCCTCAGGAATCAGGGGTTCATAGCAGCTGCTTGCGTGAGAATTCCTGAGAGTAATATAGAGTCTTTCCTTAGGAAAACAAGGGTGAAGAGGGTGGGATAAGCATTTTGAAGCAAGCTTAGAAATTCTATTACCAAACAATATCATTAGTTAATATTCTATTATACTTAGTGTTTCTAGTCCCTTTGACTGTTTTTGATTTCCAGCTTCTCTCTTTGGGTCTAGCAATCTGTCTGCATCTCTGTGGATGTCAATGACACCTTTCTACCCCACATTTCTCCACCTATTCAGTATTCTGCTTAAGTGTACAGCTGTTGCCTTTGACTCCTCTTAGATGACAAATCCCTCCAGGGCAAAAACTATGCCTTCAACTTTCTTAATAACGACTTAAAGGGAGCATATAAGTTTTAGTTCTTTGTAAAAATCTTTTGATATTCTCAAACTCTTCCAAAATGTTGAAAAAGAAGGAACACTTCCTATCTCATTCTCTGAGGCCAACATAGCCCTGATACCAAAGCCAAAGACACTACAAGAAAACTACAAACCAGGATCCCTTATATTCATGGAAAAATCAACAAATTACTAACAAGCCAAACTTAGCAGCATAGTAAAAGGATTATACACCATAACCAAGTGGGACTTATTCCCAGAATGCAAGGACAGTTCAACATATGAAAAGCAGTAACTGTAATATACCACATTTTAAAATGAAGCAAAAAACCACACACGATCAATGATAAAAGAAAGAACCTGACAAAAAGTCAACACCCTTTAGTGTTAAAAACATTCATATTAAAATAGGGAATAACTCCAACATGATAAAGGTTATAAAGAACTCACAGCTCAATGGTGGAAAATTGAAAGCTTTCCTCTCAGATCAGAAACCAGGCATGGACACCTGATTTCACCACTTTTATTATTAACACTAGAGGCCCAGTGACCGAAATCTGCACTTGGCGGGTGGGGGT